GTCCTGGTTAAACTAATAGCACCTTTATCGTTAACAAATAAGCGCAAAAAGATTGATGACAGAGCAGCAAATTTCAAACTGTTATGCCTAGAATCACCAGGGAAGCTTGCTGAACAAATGCTTCCCAGGTCTCACCGCCAGAAAGTGGGAGTCAGGAAGTCTAGCTTGGGGGCTTGGAATCTGCAGTTTTTATCGCATAGGAGTGGTCGGGCACCACGCTTTAAGAAACGCTGTCCTAAATCATCAAGGAAATGCAAATCAAAACCGCAAGGAGGTAACACCTCACATCTGTCCGAGTGGCTAGTCCAGTGACAAATACCAAGCGTTGGCCAGGATGGGGAGAAAAAGAAACCCTCGTGCACTGTTGGTGGGAGCGTAAATTGGTACACGGTGCCCTGTGAAAAACAGTATGGGGGTTACTCAAAAATTAAAGACAAATATCCTATGAGCCAGTGATTCCACCGTTGGGTATTACCCAGAGAAAGCCAAAACATTAATTCCAAAAGATATATGCACTCCTGTGTTTATTGCAGCATTATTTACAATAGCCAAGATACAGAAGCAACCCAGTGTCCGCCAACAGATGAATGGATAAAGATAATATGGTACACACATACATATGCGCAGTGGAATATTATGCAACCATAAAAAATGGCAAGATTTTGTCATTTGGGACAACATGGATGGACCGACAGGGTATTAGGTATGCTAAGTGAAATAAACCACAAGAGAAAGACATAATGCGTAGTATTACTTACATGGAGAATTGGGGAGAAAAAGTCAAACTCCTAGAAACAGAGTAGAAAAGTGCTTGGCGGGGGCTGGGAGGTGGGGGAAAATAAGGAGATGCTGGCAAAAGGGTACAAACTTTCATTTATAAAACGAGTAAGTTCCGAGGATCTAACGTATAACACGTTAACATGGGGACTATAGTTGATAACACTGCATTGGATCATTGGAATTTGCTAGAGTGGAGCTTAAGTGTTCTCACCAAGAAGAAAGAGAGGAAGAGAAAGAGGAAGAGGAAGAAGAAGAAAAGAAAGAAAAATAAAGTAAATGTGTGAGGTGACGAGGTGGCCTTGTTGGTTCATTCAAAGAAGGGAATCCTTTTCAATGCATATGTATAACGAATTATCAAGTTGCACACTAAATATATTAGAATTTTCTTTGTCAATTTTACCTTAGAAAAGCTGAAAGAAAGAGAAAGAAAGGGAGAAAGGAAGAGAAAGAATCTGGGAGACTTAAAACAGAGGAGAGTCCAGAAAGGATTTGACACTCTTGCTTCTATCTGCTTAATCTATGGATACAGAGATGGAGAGCAAAGGCCACGCGTCCAAGTCCTCAGAGGGCTAGGTGGAGGCGTCTGAAGTGGGAGTCTGTGATAAAGCTAATACAAATATGTTTTCAGGAGAAAAACCAGAGGGCAGGTGTGAACTATTCTGGCCCGGGAGGTGTTAAATCATATTCTGGTTTTGAGAATCTCATTTTGCTTTTCATCTCTTGCCACCTTAATTTAATTCAAAATACAGCACGTACCACATTATGCACGAGCTTGGTTGTCCCAAGGAGGGAGCTCAGTGCTTTTAAAACTAAACTTGAAACTTCCATCGCTAGAACAGAGTGGTGGCGGATAGAGTCTGTAGAATTTACAAAGGGATGTGAGCTTGAGAAAGAGAGGCAGGGCAATGAACACACATTTGTCAAGTTAAATGGCCAATACGGCGAAGTGGCAATGACCTGAGTGGGTGAGTTTCAAGTCAGGCAAAACAAGAGTTAGCAGGAAACAGCATTTTCAGATGAGGAAAGACAGCTCAGAGAAGTAAAGGGTTTGGCCCAGGAGCAGAGGCAGCAGAGCTGGGACTGGAATCCAAATCTCATGAGCAGAGTGGTGAGAGTTTCTCAACCACTTTGACCCACCCAAATATAGGCGCCAGGGCTTTCTCTCGCAACTTTATCCCCACGCCTGTGACTGGAAGTTTCCTCACCCTCTATTTAGGGGAGCTTCTGAGTGTCCCATGGCTGTTGAAAAGCAGTGGAAGAAGGTGTGGTCTTCCAGTTTGGAGGAGCCTTGGCAAAGCCTTGGTGAGCGGCCAGGAGCCCTTCATGTACACGATCAAGGGATGATATGCATGCAGTTGACCACGGAAGGACCGTGAACCTGAGGGACAAGAAGAACAGCTGGCAGGGCGCCCCTGTGTATAACCCGGAGCACTCCCAGGCACGGTGGAATGTTCTGGAGGCACCAGCTTGGCTGCCCCGCCTCACCATGGCCTCCTAGGGGCATCTGGACACGGACACGATCTCAGTCTCCCTGCACGGCCCGTAAGGGCAGGTTCTCAACACCCACCCACTGCAGCGTGACCCCCTCCAAACTCAGTTCAACATCCCCTGTATCAGGCCATCTCTCCCATTCCCGTTGAGTGAGTGTTTGTTGAATTTGACAATGGTGTCCATTTTTTAGTGCCAACTACGGGCTAGGCGTACTCCGGTCCAATAGTTCATCCTCACCATCTGGCTCTTTCTTGCCACCGTAGACATTCATGA